GGTGGGTGTGCGTGCGCGTGCGCGCGTGCGTGCGCGCGTGCACGTGCGCGCGCGTGCATGCGTGCCTGCGTGGGTGGGTGGGTGGGTGGGTGCGTGGGTGGGTGGGTGGGTGGGTGGGTGGGTGGGTCGGTGCGTGGATTGGTGGGTGGGTGTGTGTGTGTGTGTGTGTCTGTGTGTGTGCCTGTGTGTGTGTCTGTGTGTGTGTCTGTGTGTGTGTCTGTGTGTGCCTGTCTGTCTGTGTGTGTGTGTGTCTGTGTGTGTGTGTGTCTGTGTGTGTGTGCCTGTGTGTGTGTCTGTGTGCCTGTCTGTGTGTCTGTCTGTGTGTCTGTCTGTGTGTCTGTGTGTCCAAGCGTTTTTTGCGCCAGTTTCGTAGGCCCGCCTCTCTCCCACCGAAATCTCTCTCTCTCTCTCTAGTTCTCTCGGGCTCGCTTCCTCCCCTCTCATCTGCACTTTCACACGATCACAGAGACGTACAAGCTTGAAAATGTAGGCACGTCTATCTACATCTATATCTATATCTGTATCTATCTATGTCTACATTATACAAAATTATACTAGATTATAATATAATATATTATGTTATATTATATTATATTATATTATAGTATAGTATAGTGTATTATATTATCTTATCTTATCTTTTATTGTATTGTATTATATTATGTTATATATAGATATGCAGTTTACATGCATACATGCATCCATGCATACATGCATCCATGCATCCATGCATGCATACATGCATACATACATACATACCTACCTACCTGCATATGTAGATATATATACATGTTACATAGGTACACTCATGCCGGAGAAGCAACTCCTACGTACTCACAACCAAGGACTATCCTGCCCTGCGCAGCTTAGGTTAGTCGTGGATCGTTTCCTTGCGTCGCCGACGGCCGCAGCCTGGTAATGATCCCACATATCAAACTCATCTAGCGGAGGCTCCTCGGTTGCACACAGTGGACAGTGGCATCCTACGCTCCTCCGGCAACCCCAGCCAAGCCAAGGCACCATAACTGCATCTGTTTCATCATCCAGGGAATGACTATGAATGACCTGCTCCTCTGATCTCGCTGCCGCCATCGGTGGTTCTTTTCTAGGCTACTATACGGCCCGCCACCCACAGGACGCTTGAGCCTGACACCAGCGGCTCAGGGCTTTCCAAGCATTCATTGACGCCCGGCCCAAGCTCAGCCCATGCTGGCACAACTCCGGGGGTCCTGAAAGTTGAGACCCGGCCTCATTGCTGCTGCGGCTTTGCATGACTCAAGCTCCGGCACAGACTGGGACGTTGACACAGCCAGGCGATCCACAGGGCGCGTGGTTCCCACGTAATACCCATGGTTCAGCTCCTAAATCCAAGACGAGAACTTTTGAGCCAAGACTACCCTGTCTCTGCAGGTACTTGGTGCCAGGCAAACTTTGCACCATTCCAGCCTGCCATCAGTCGACGGAATGTGGCAGCAAACTTCCATCATCGGCTGGCCGGGCCGGGCCTATGCCCTGCAGCAAGCGCTGCTTCTCCTCCAGGGTCATGAGCGGCAGCCTCTCTGCAAAACCCAAGAAAGCAAAGACCGGATTTTTGTGGGACATGAAACATGGCAATGGAGTGCAAAGGGCCCGGCAATCGCTCAGCGAGGGCATAGCTTTCGTCCCAAGATCGGGGCGAAGGCCTGAGGCCGAGAGCAGGACGTGCTGTCAGAACCCTCCGCCAGGATCGAGGAGGCCGCACTCTTTGCATCGGGAATCTCAAACCTGCAACTAAGGCTACTGGCAATTGCCGCACCCTGGTGTTAATTCTTGTGAGCGTCTCAAAAGCCGTCCCAAGCAGACGACGATGCCATGGAGCGTCTCACCCCAGATGCAGAGACATCCACCACAGACATGAGCTTGCACCGTCTAGCCCAGGGATGCACTCTTTGCCTGGGACTTTGAAGCTGCAAGCACCGCTGTAGCTTCGCTGGCCTAGGGAATCCTCCAGCGGCGACAAAAACATGGCACGTGCAGGTCCGAGGTGGGCTGCTCGCCTCTAGTGTCTGACAGGCAGCGTTGGCTGTCAAAGGATGGGAGGCCCATTTCGGCACCTCGCTGCTACACTGCTTTTTTACATGAGCGAAGGTCAGGCAACAGCAACGAGAGCTGGATGTTGTGCTCGGGCCGATGCCATTGCTCGTGGCCAACAGGTCCACCCTCAAGTCAAGTGGGGGTGCGCACTTCTCCTGCAAAACCCTGCAATCTCGGGATCGCACGGACCGTGGGATCTCGAGACCTCGGTCTACCCTGCATTTAGTGGAGCTCCCAACCTCCACCGATATCTTTTAGCAGGACACCAGCAGGCCACAGCGGCATCAGCATCGGAGCACCTGGCCACACAACCCTGGGGCGAAGCCAGACTTGATTAGGCAATGCCCTGAGGCGCGGGCCCGGTGGTGCTGCCCGGCTTCTCGGAACAAACATCCAGGCCATCGTGTCCTGTGCAAACGCGGAGCAGCAGCGGCTATCGGAGGCCGGCACCGCGCCAGATCCGTGGCGGCCTTCTGCCCAACTCAGCTCGAACCTCGGCATCCCAAAGTCAAAGTCGAAGTGAGAGTGCGAAGCTGCGAAGGCCGGGGCATGGACAAGAGCACCGCCACAATGCGAGCACCATGGGCCATGAAGGATCCCATCGGTTCAACTAGCGCATTCACCGGACACTACCACCTCTTGTCTTTCCGCGTTGACTAGGAAAGCTATGGTTGCTGTTGCACCATCCTCCCCATGCTTCCCGTTCCTATCCCGCAGTCGGATGGCTGGGGCAGATGCGGGACAGCTCGTGCCTGCACCTGCATTTCGGGCAAGTCTACGTGGAATGAGGATGCAAACTGGATGCAACCAGCAAGCATGGAATCCATTTCACCGTCTGCAGACTGATACGTTGCAGAATTGCGCTGTTTGCTGTCGAGCTCAGAGCAGCAACGGCGAACCTGCAACTCGGAGTGGTGCGGAATAATGCTCGCTGAAATACCTGCAGGGTGAGAGTTTTCGGCAGGTAGTAGAAACGACCTTGTAGACTGACAAGTGACAAGATCGACAGAAAGAGACTGGGGGGTGGGGCATCAAAAAGCATCAAAAAAAATAGACCGGAGTAAAGACAGACATAAGGGAAGGACGT